TGGGCAAGAAAATATGAAAAGACTCTGGAACGTTTGCTGATTTTAAATTATGCCAAATGCTAGCCACTGCACAATAATGCTTAAGCTGCTTTGAAATTAACACTTGAAAAATAAACATAAAAGTAATGACACTTGCTTTATATTACCTAGAAAGAAGTAACAGATTGACACTAGTCTTAGATTCCTTTAAAATTGCTTATCAGTAAAATTTTACTACTATTATTGAAATAGTATAGACTCATATAAACTTTAAAAAGCTTGCAGACTTACAGTCACACTCACGCAGGGAAACCAATGCTACCACAAATAATTTGCAAAAGGCAAAAAAACCCCACATCTTGCATTTAGCATCTGGTACATAGATACCTTAGCTATATCAAGTTAAAGCAGTCCTGGATGCCACACTCCTATTTTCCCCAAAACACATTTTAATTAGTGTTATTTCTCATCAGCAAGATGTAGCTGGGGATGTGGGACAGTGCTTGTGGATTCTTTTTTTTTAAATATTGCACTTACTTTGTTTGAAGGTCTGAACTCTGGTACCTTCACAGCTGAAATAATCTTCAAAATAGTTTCCTCTGACAAATCCTGTTAAGGTTTTGAAGAAAACCAATTAAAGTTCACATCAACTCAAAAACACCCCCACAAAAAGACTGGATATCCAGTAGCATTTCAAAGAACACCAAAACAAAAAAAATCCCACAAATATTCCATGATGTTTCAGTGAAACATCATCACTGAAACACCAAGTGACATTTCAGTTGCCCCATTGAACCAGAGTGCAGCACTTGAAAACCGAACAGAACTGAAGCATAAATGCAACTTACAGGAAGATCCAATTAGAAAAGGAAAAGGGTAACAAGAAAAACAAAGGACAAGCAACACAGAAGCTGTTGAGTAGTAAAAAACAGAACTCACAAACCATAGCTACGACACTTAATTTAAAAAGCGCCTTATAAAGATCTTCCAGTTCAGTTATTATATTGCACAGGCGATAGGTCCATCAAAATAAGAATTCCTGAGCTCAGAGATTACTGAAAATACCCAGTGCACTACCCATTTCTTCTCTGGGTTAGGGATTTAAATAAAGAAGACTAAACCTAAGCAGTTGCTGAACAGTCAGTGCTGAAGCATAGATTACTTTAAGAATCTGTTTAATCAAATCTTGGAAAGAAATGGTAACTGGACATGGGACCAAAACTGAACACGTTCACCCAAGTCACACGACAGGAGCACTGATACAGGATGGATTACCTTCTCTGTGAAGGGAACACAGTACACTGTCGCAAAGAGTTTCGCTGCGCTCACGATGAAACCGTAGTGCCTGAAGAAGAGAGGAAGATAAGGGTTTTTTTTTGGTTGGTTGGTTGGTTTCTTACTGCAGTTACCTGAAGTTTTGCAATCATATTCAACTGGTCTAAAAAAAACACACACAGGGAAACAATTCCCAAAACAGATGACAGATCTCGAGAGACTCAGAAGTCCTCCCCAATATGAAGAAGACTTTGATGAGTGAAGAGTTATTTAATGAAAACTGTATTTCCTTCACCTTTGCAGTCAAGTAAATAACTCTGAACGCTAACATGACATCAATATGATAATAAAAATCTTCACCTCAGAAATACTTTGATATTTGCCATCATCTCAGTTTTCACCCAAACTAAAAATGGCAATCCAGACAGTTTCTCAAAGCATGTGTAGATACGCAGCCCATAAATCCTTTCAATTCTTCAGCCACATCAATTTTTAAAATTATCTGTAATACCCAAGCCATCAAGGTCAGACCCAAATCGTGGAGAAGAAGAAAAGGGGCCCCTCCACTAGGTCATTTTAGCTATTCAATTTAATTTGGCACATCCTGCATTTCATTATGTGGGCCGGCGGGGCCAGTGGGGTACGACAGCAACAATTCATAATTCTGTAGTCACACAATAAGCGAAATGAGTTGTTTTAAGCCATTTCACCTTAGATGTTGTCAGACCTTCCCACAGCACCCTCCAGTCCCATGTCAGTGAAAGTTAAGTTACCTGCAGTGAAAGTATGAGGCAGCACAATGTAAGATTGTGCACTAGAACCTATAAAATACTAGTCCAACTTCTATTTTGGCTTTACAGCCATTGCCTGGCACTTACTGGGATCTATAAAACACATCAGGGGCAGTACCATACTTACAAAGGATCATTAAATTCAAACTTCACTGGGAAAGGTGGCCTCTTTGGTGACTGCCAAAACAAACCTGGTAAGAAGAGAGACTTAAGATGAAATCCTAAGGAATCAGGAAGAGCAATGCGTGACGTAGGCCGTGAACTCACAACAGGCACAAAGGGGCATTTGTACTTACTTCCATCTTTTAATCGTGTATCAAGAGGAAATGAATGAAGGAGCTGAAGAGCCTAGAGGAAAAGCCAGAGTAGCTTTAGTAATTTGTCATATACATATTGTTATGACCACACTAAGTCAAGCTTTCTTTCTAGTAATGATGGGAAATCTTGATAGAGCTTTTAGGACCCACCAATACATAGCTGAAGTAATTTAAAGAGTTAAGAAAATCTAAGATGCCTGTGTCAAGGTGGAGAGCTTAAAGACACAAGCACGACTAGAGAGAGTGACTTGCCCATTCATTCACAGGACAAAGATGACAATTTCACCTCATCTGTCCAAAGTCCAAGCCAGACAATTAATCTAAGAAGCCAAGCGTTTCCCCCACCCTGTTGTCACTTTAGAGTGCTTTCATATCAATTTACAATTGGGAATGCAATGTTTTCTCACTGTGACAACAAATTTGTCATATACATATTGTTATGACCACACTAAGTCAAGCTTTCTTTCTAGTAATGATGGGAAATCTTGATAGAGCTTTTAGGACCCACCAATACATAGCTGAAGTAATTTAAAGCCCCACCAGGGCTTCCATATGCACAGATATGATATGTTTATTAATACATTACATCATGGTCACATCTTTCCTACAAAATTACACACTTAAGCAACACTGTGGGCCAGATTCTCAGAATGACTGGCTCTTATTTCAGCCAACCTCTCTGTGACATCTTTTAGAAAATCAGGGATATGAAGATGAGTTCAGTAGCAAAAGTTTAGTGGGGGAAACAAAAAGCCACTGTCCTTTAGTAAAAGCCACCTGATAACCCTGCTGCGCTCTGGAAAAACATGATACCTCACCAGTTGGAAAAATATCAAGAAAACCTGCATGGAGACTACTGAGCAGAGCCACTGGGAGTCAGTTAATAAACCAGACTTAAAAGCACTACAACAGAAAGAGGAAGGGATGCAGCATTTTTAAGTTTCAAGTACAGTTTTTACTTATTAAGAGATGGATTATTAAGAGATGGAAGTGAGACTTAGTCACCTAGTTATTAGGGCTACCAAATTTTCTACAACCCTCAGTTCTTACCTACCTTATGGCTAAGTTAATAAACCAGACTTAAAAGCACTACAATAGAAAGAGGAAGGGATGCAGCATTTTTAAATTTCAAGTACAGTTTGTTACTTATTAAGAGATGGAAGTGAGACTTAGTCACCTAGTTATTAGGGCTACCAAGGTGTCTAAAACCTTACTGTCACATCATTTCCAGGTCTTACCTACCTTATGGCTGAAGTACTTCTCAAATTTTACTCTTGCTAGCTCCACACACTGAGTCCAACTTCGGGGTCTTCTACTGAGTGTTTTAATAACATGAAAACAGCCTTCTAAACTTTCCCCTGATTTTATTCTCTGGACAGAGAAGAAAATATGAAAATGTTAAGACAGACAGGATTCCTCCCAATCCAGTCAAACAGTAAATATGTTTTTTAGTAAGTTATAGGCAAAATGAAGCTGAGGGTCATTTTGTGAAGTATTACCCTTTAAGTGATCTTCTCCACTAGGTTTCTCCCCAGGTGCTGTGACCTACTTGATTTGTTTCCACTCAGTCCTATGGACCACAGGCCATTATAGACTCAGAAGAACAGATATTAAGTGATTTGGTCTACTTTATTATATAGTTGAATTCACTTTAAGCTAAGTCTTCCCTTCACTTTTTTCCAGCTGGTTGCACATCAGTGTGACATCTTCTATACACTTGCCAGCAATGCCTCAGTATTTCTGATATTCTACATTATGTACAGGGTACACATGAGCTAGAGAAGCAGCCCACGCATGAGGCTTTGGATCTTAATTATGAGACACACCAGAAACATCATACCCATGAAAGATCAACTAATGACTTGGCCAAATAAGTTTTCAGATTTTCTGAATGAAGTCAGAAAAGAACCTAAATCTCATCAAACTTAAACAGAAACAAAATTCATAAAGCATTAGAGTTTAAACCCTGTATTTTAGCAGGAAAGAACCTAAATCTCATCAAACTTAAACAGAAACAAAATCCATAAAGCATTAGTTTAAACCCTGTAATTTACCCTACCTGTAAAACTTCTTCTGCAGATGGATACGTTTGCCAGAATTTGTTAAACAACGAGGGCTTGTGAGAAAACGAACTTTCGAACTAGAAAAGAAAAAGAACAAATATGGCATGTTGCAAGAAGTGCATCAGATCCCCCGCCTTTCCAAATACACATTAAGTTATGCTGAACACCAGTAAGCTTATTCCCTTACCTTATCTCTTGCCCACTGTATCGTGTGCTCAATGGCAGCTGGGAAAGACTTTAAGGTGCAAAAAGGTATTTCTTCTTCTGGTGGATCCCGCTGTAATTAAGGAGAGTTGCATGTACATGCAGGCTCATTAAAGTTTATTGCTACTAATAACACCAAGCATTTACAGACTACGTAAGTTTTAAACTCCACTGTTGTAGAATACAAGGTGGCTTATTTATGCTTAGAACAAAATTTGTTTTATGAACACTAACATATCACTTCCTGTTTATGAAGAATAGTCTAAACTCAACACTGGAAAGCAAAACTGAATTCTGAAACACAAACAACAGAAGAAATTGCCAGCCAGCTTTCCCAAGACGTGCAGTTCACATTCACATACACTCTCAACACAAAATATGCCTTTTCATTCAAGGCCAGAATGACTTTTTTTCTTTGTGGACTCCAGCAAGACCATTGGGATGCTCCAAATCACGTCTCTGTATCCACACGGGATCACTTCTTAGTGTTCTCAACCAGTGATTTTCTACCTTTTTAAGGCAGTTTCACCAGACCTTAAACAGAGGGATAGTGCAAGAGTTTGAAGGTTCACTTCACTTTCCCCTTCCCCATTCAAACAGCGCTGCTACGCGTGCTTGTAGAAGCTGGTAGTCTGATTCCTACTACAGAGGCTTGTGTTTCTACCTGCCTGTGGAGGTGGTGATATCCACCAAGAACAGAATGAGCGGGCAGATAGCAGATCTAAGAAGGAAACCCACAAGTACAAAACCAGTTTGCAATGCCACGGTGGGACTAGATTATTATTCAAAAGGGAATTTTCAAGGAAAAAAAAAGTCCCGTGGAAACTATTATTCAAAAGGGAATTTTCAAGGAAAAAGAAACAAGTCCCGTGGAAATGCTTCAGAATTAGGACGTTTTCCAAAGCTTGTGTTTCATGATTCATGCAGTAGTTGCTTTCAAGTGTTGGCAGAGGTGCAATCACCAGCTAGATAGCAGACATGATATCTCCAGTCTGCTCAAATTTTATAGCCTGTCAACTTTTCTTCAGAAGCCAAGGAAGCAATTATTTCCTTCAGCAACTCAAACAGGGCACTTGTTTTAGACAGACATATAACCAATTTAGGAATCAGAGGGCATTATGGGACGAGCTACAGAAGGTAAGCCATGGTCTTAAGACACTTACATGACTATTGTAGGACTCTGTCAGATGTGGCACAATAACTTCTGTGTGTCCTTTTGTTCCCATAGTTCCGGAGTCGATAAGAGGACGCAGGTTTGCTACACAACGACTGATGGGGAAAGACAGAGACTGTCAGAACACAGCGTAATCCTAACACTCTGGCCTCGCAGACACTACCAGAATTGACTCTAGGCACTTTCAAAAGAGTGGAAAGCTTACAGAAAAGCTCAGGAAAAGAAGAGATTAAATAAGAAGAGCTATTTCAAATTTGATCGGGACACAATAAACCTGAGCCTACCTGGATTAGGAGCATTAATAATTATTTTTAAATGGAAATCTCTCAACTTGTAATTTAAATACATATTACACATATTAATTATTTTTAAATGGAAATCTCTCAACTTATAGTTTAAATATGCATTACACATAAATAATTCAGCCTTAAGACCGCCACAGTATTGTCCTCCTCATCAGCCCTTGACAGCTGTTAATCTCCAAGCACACACTCCAAGGCTCTCTGCCATGTGAACAGGACCAGCCACACAACAGCAGAGCTGGTTTCCACCCCCTTCCTCCCCTGAGTCAGCATCCCTATAAAGGAGCAAGATAAATCTGAACAGTTTGCTATCAGATCTTATAAACAGTTACAGACCAGGAAGATTAAGAATAGAAAAGCAGAATTCACATAAGAAAATAAAAAGCAGCCCTCACCTCCTTTCCACAACCTACCTATCAATGTATCTCCTTGCCTCAACGTTGTCCAAAGCGGTCACAATCACATCTTGCTTGCTATAGAATTCATCGCTGTAAGTGTTCTCAGTGGCTGGACAAACTTTATTAATATAGGAGTCGATCTTTAAGCAAGGATTGATGTTCAGAGTTGCTTCTGCTGCAGTATAGCTTTTAGGTTTCTGAAAGTATAAATACATATATATATATATGTATGTCTCTCAACAGTACTCAGATAAAGAACATCTGGGATGCAGAAGTATCGACTTCATCAGACAACAATTCACTGACAGAAAGGTTAGTATGCAAAATGCACAATAAAAGAAATTCTTTAGTAATATACCCCCCTCAGTAGTAAATATCTCGAGTTTTATTTAGGGTGTCAGAGACCACAAGGTGGAGGTGCTTAAATGGTGCAGCAGAAGTGCATTGAGTAACTGCAACTGCTGCCACGTGCTGCCTCCCATGTTCTCTAACAGCCACAGAAGAGATTAAATAAGAAGAGCTATTTCAAGTTCAATCAGGACACAATAAACCTGAGCCTACCTGGATTAGGAGCATTAATAATTATTTTTAAATGGAAATCTCTCAACTTGTAATTTAAATACATATTACACATATACATAAATAATTCAGCCTTAAGACCGCCACAGTATTGTCCTCCTCATCAGCCCTTGACAGCTGTTAATCTCCAAGCACACACTCCAAGGCTCTCTGCCATGTGAACAGGACCAGCCACACAACAGCAGAGCTGGTTTCCACCCCCTTCCTCCCCTGAGTCTGCATCCCTATAAAGGAGCAAGATAAGTCTGAACAGTTTGCTATCAGATCTTATAAACAGTTACAGACCAGGAAGATTAAGAATAGAAAAGCAGAATTCACATAAGAAAATAAAAAGCAGCCCTCACCTCCTTTCCACAACCTACCTATCAATGTATCTCCTTGCCTCAACGTTGTCCAAAGCGGTCACAATCACATCTTGCTTGCTATAGAATTCATCGCTGTAAGTGTTCTCAGTGGCTGGACAAACTTTATTAATATAGGAGTCGATCTTTAAGCAAGGATTGATGTTCAGAGTTGCTTCTGCTGCAGTATAGCTTTTAGGTTTCTGAAAGTATAAATACATATATATATATATGTATGTGTCTCAACAGTATTCAGATAAAGGACATCTGGGACGCAGAAGTATCGACTTCATTCGCTTCATATCGACTTCATCAGACAACAATTCACTGACAGAAAGGTTAGTATGCAAAATGCACAATAAAAGAAATTCTTTAGTAATATACCCCCCTCAGTAGTAAATATCTCGAGTTTTATTTAGGGTGTCAGAGACCACAAGGTGGAGGTGCTTAAATGGTGCAGCAGAAGTGCATTGAGTAACTGCAACTGCTGCCACGTGCTGCCTCCCATGATCTCAAACTGCCATAAGGAAGGAGCAGCTCATGACCATCCGAGGAGAAACCCAGCAGTTACTGTGACTACGTCTGTGCAGCACAGACAGCAAACACCTGTGAAGAATCACATCACTGCAAGGCATTCCACACCAGGCCAACTTCAGCAGCTAAACTGAAATAGAGTTCTTAACCCCCCTGATACTTCTAGCCATGCTACATTCCATTATCTAGGGATAAGCTCAAGACAGTGTGGCTTCTCAAAGTTTGCAGAGTTCACCTTCCGTTTTCCTAACCCTTCAAAATGTAATCCCTTCCAGGTTTGCCAGACAAGCAGGAAGCAGAAAATTCAGCTGCTGGGTTTTGGGCAGGGGAATCCCCATCACTGCCAAGATCTGAGCCACATTTTTTTTTAATTATGCTCTGTGTTTGCAATTACAGGGGTATTCTCTCTGCTTCTCAAGAATTAACAATTTCTGTACGACGCAATTACTGAAATGTACATGTGTTTTTTGCAAAGCTATTTACCAGCTTAACAAAGACTGAATTACATCAGAAGACAGCAACTTTGGTCAAGTTCTATCAGTAGTCGCTCTTCCACTGAGAACACTTCTGCCAGTGTCATCTGTTTTTTGTTGTTTTGATTTATTCTCCCCAAATTTTCATGATATAGTAAAGCGATTCTGGCATATTAACCCATGGCAGCTTCTTATGCAACAGAGCATTCCTCATCTGATTAAAAGAATCATAGAATGGTTAGAATTGGAAGAGACCTTAAAGATCATCGAGTTCCAACCCCCCTGCCTCAGGTCTTCCTTTTTTCCTTTTTGAAAATGGGGGTGGTGTTTCCCCTTTTCCAGTCAGCAGGAACTTCACCAGACTGCTACAACCTGATGACTTGACTGCCAGGATTCTCAAGTTTGAGAGATTAGTCAAAGACAACAGTACAAATGAAGATCAGACTTTACAAATTAAGATCAGCCAATTTTACTCAACTGATGCTAGTGATAAGTGGGATGCCAACGTAGTTCTAGGTATTGTTTTAAAAGATACTGGATTTCATTACAGCCTTAAGTCTTTTCTGGACAGAAATACATACAAGTTCAGCTTTTGATGGGGGACACAGGACAGGGAAACAGAAAAACATTCCAGAAAGTTTATTGAACAAGAAAGCCTACCTGTATGTGATGAGGTCGGAAAAGAAACTGCCTGTTCAGGTTGGATTTCTCTATCAGGTCTGGATCTGTAATTGTAACCTAAGTCAGAAGGGGCAAAAGCAACAGCTGAAGTTACAATTTAAGCGTCGCACTGAGCAATAATCTTGATGGAATCTCTACGGAAACTTGTCAAAACAAGGCACTCCTGTTGGCATTCACTGTAGGTAACAGCTCTGCCTATACTGACTGATAAATTTTGTTTTGAAATCAAAAATACAGCAAGGCTGCTCCAAGTGTGTTCTGCTTCTAATTGCACACTACGTCCACTTTATGCTGAGGCCATTCTACCCTCTGTGCAGAGATCAAAAATGTTAAAAGTCTAAGGCTTATGTCAGATTAAGTAGTCTAATTATTGAATTATTCATTGTAACAGTACTTTTTAATAAGCAAAGTGAGGTTAACAGGTCACTTACCAATCCTTTGTCTTGCCCAGTACCGACCCCAAGGAGCGCAAAGTTTTTGAGCATTTCACAGCCTATAGCTCCGCAGCCAACCTAAACAAATGACATTCTCAGAGTCAGAAATGTAAGTAAAAACTATGAGGACAAGTATAATAGACAAGTCCCATTACAATTTTTGGCCATTTATTCTGCTGTGGCACACATCATCAGAGCTGCTTTCATTATTTGAAGACAGTGTATGTTAGATGTATTGACAAAGCACGTGCAAAAAAAAGAGTAACAGTGTCGGTCATACTCACCAAAAAAACATTCAAATCATGCAGCTTCTGGCACAGAGACTCTCCAATACAAGCCCTCAAGGCATCATACCTATCTCCCCTGTGCAGGCACAAGAGACAAAAAACAGAAGACTACTAAGTTGTCATTTATCACAGTAGCATCATTGACGCCAAACTGCACTTCGACATGAACTAAGAAAACCAGACCCAGTCCCTTATAATTCCTAGTCCTCCCATGCTCAAATCTGACACATATTTTCAACCCCTAAGCTGTCCCACCAGCAAATGGCACTGAGCTAACTTTCAAAGGCATCTTCTGTGCCTGCTTGAGACTCAGATGTGACCACCACATAAAACAGCAGACTGCAGTTATACTCACCGTGGGAGAAATTCTTCAGAGCCCATCTTTTCCAGAGGCATCACAATGTCCAACATGTCTATATACAGCTGTAAGAAACAAAGGAAAAAGAAAAAAACATTAAAAATCTGTGAAAAACATTCATGTTGTTTTCATTTAAAAAGCCAAGTAAATATTTTCTATATACAAAGGAGTCTAGACATTTAGAAGCACTACGTTTTTACTGTCAGTGGAAGACACAGCACTCGGTTCCCCACAGTTTCCTTCGCAGTTTTAGTGGACAGGAAAAAGAAACTGGGCACTAAGTGGGAAAAAAAGCTCACTGAAATGTGAGCCACAAGCTTTTCACTTCTGACAGGCACGCTACCCCTCTGAATTAGACTGTGATAGTTTTAAAATCTAACTTTATTCTGACACTTACCCTGAGAGTCTCAAAACACTGCTCTTATGTACAGTGGCTTAAGCTGGCACCTGGACTACATCCCATCTTTGCAGCCATGCAACGACAGGCCAAAGCTCTCCTTGCTTGTGGGGATAAAAGGATGGGATGCCTGAACCCCAAACATGAAAATTTTAACTAAAACTGGCTGCACTTTTATTGTGCACATAAAAAAAAAAAATTACATTTTTTCCTAAATTCAGTCTCAATCATTTTTTTCCCCCCCCGTTAAAGAAGCTGTTCAGCCTCTTTTGGTGATACAGCAGTCACACACAACCATGCATTCATCACATCACTGCCAATATAAAGATCCAAACCCAAAGACAGCCTTACCCACTGCTGCAAGGGTGAAAATTTTCCTGTTACTGCTTTCAAGACTTCCTGGCTAGCGACACCACCCACTGCGGCAGCCAGAGGAGCTAGAAATCCCTGAGCAGTCCTGGACAACCATTTCACTACATCTCCGTTCACCTGAGGCTGAAAAATAAGACATAACAGCACATTTATCCATTCCATCGAGCAAGTCAGTGCTTGGCAGTGTCATAAATTATTTTCTTCAGAAAAGACAAATCATTTCACTCTGACTAGCAAAAAGCTTTCCAGCCAAGACAGGCTGGATCCACTGTATAACCTGTATTTGTATAAAAACTGGATTCACACAGCCACCAGGATTCAGCCTTCATGCCAGGTGAAGGTTTGGTTGAACCTGCACTGAAACACCATTCTGCTTCCTCGCTTCAGAAAGCCAACAGATCCATCTAAAGATGGACACAACAACCAGAACAAGGACCAACAACTAAACATGACCTTTAGGCAAATAAATAAGCGCATCAAAAGTGACTCATCATGACGATGATTCCTTACTCACTTTGCTTTCCAGTGTTTCACTTATAGATATGGCTATTTTCAGCATTTCCTCAGCATCTTGAAGGCATCTAGACACCGGGGTAGAAACAGTAACAATCACTTAAACATTCCAGAGCCCTTCTAGAAATATATTTAACAGAAAAAAAATACAGTAGGAAGAGTTTAGACATTTATATCGGTTTTAACAGCGAAGATTAAAGATGCCCTTCTATCCAGGGTTAGCTCAAAACCAGGAGTTTCAGTGGAAAAGCCCATGTGCATGTCCCATCTTAAGATTTATACTTTGTAAGTAGTTTTGTCCCGTTTAACTCAAAATTATGCACATCAAGAACTACAGCTGAAAAAAATATGGAAAATGAAAACCAAATCCTTCAGAGTTTTTATTTTTTTTTTTAAATCCGTGAAGTAGTTTTGTCCCGTTTAACTCAAAATTACGCACACCAAGAACTACAGCTGAAAAAAAAAATATGGAAAATGAAAAACAAATCCTTCAGACTTTTTTTTTTTTAAATCCATAACTCAAAATTATGCACATCAAGAACTACAGCTGAAAAAAATATGGAAAATGAAAACCAAATCCTTCAGAGTTTTTATTTTTTTTTTTAAATCCGTGAGCCACAGGATAATTCAGGAATCACCACTCAAATAACTCTTCCATGTTAACCCCACAATCTGAAAAAAAACTGGAAAAGAGAAAGACTTCCTCCAAAAGCATTTTCTGTCTACCTGGGCCCAGAAAATGCCACTGTTATTTGGGAAAGCCCTGTTACAAACCCAGACATACATTAGGCAAGGTTTTTCAGCTGGATTTCAACTTTTCATTCCTATGTCATCTATTAAATACCAGACAGACAAGGTACCCTGCTGCTCATCAAACCAGTAACTACAATAAAAAGAGAGATCTGTCTGATTCAAGGCTTAGTGGAAACAAGTCTTCTGCCTTACCCGATGTTCGGTCTGCGACCAAAGTTCTCCTGGAAGTGGTTCAAGGCAAGCATGGCAACATGGATCTGCAAAGGTGCCTGTTAAAGGACAACAATAGCTGTTGATCAGTTACGAGCTTGAGAATAAGGAAGGAAATAAAAAGCACCTTTGAACTCCTATGATACCAGTTCACTCCCTTGTCTCTTAACCGTAGCGCTCAAAAAAAGTTTTTAAATAGCATTAAAAAAGTGAATTTGAAATACTTTACACTAATGTTTTTAAAAACTGGGATTACAAAGTATTACTCAGTGGTAATGCAATACTCTTCACACACACTCAGCACCCACTTCAGCTAAGTTCAGCTGAAGAGTCCCCAAAAGATTTTAGTGCTGAAATTGGAAAATGCAGTAATCTTCTTTTAACTTGACACTAAACTACATTGCATTTTGCCAAATATCAATACCAAAGCCCAGTATTAAAGGTCAAATAGGGAAGTCAGACCTTACATTATCAAACAAACAAAAAATCCTTAGACCAACATTTTTAGTTTAAAATTTTAATGAGCCTGAGACCTACATGCCTTGCACGTCCATAATACTTCACTAAAATTGTGTTAGAGGCAAATACTCTTAGCTTCCTCTCAGATTTTAGAAATACCTCTGAATCATTTTTTCAGAGAAAAAAAAAAAGTATTCTTGCACTGTTAATTCCAGTTTCCCACAAATCTATGACCACCTTCTTCTGATTATCCCAGCTTTGACGCCAGTGTGATTTTTATCAACCAAACACCAAGAAATATAGAGGAAAAACCATTGTGTCACTTGCAAAATTGACAAACCCATGAATTAAACACCAAAAATGGGGATTTTAAACAGCAGAGGGGGCTGAGCTATGCATTTACTTGGGGCAAATCCCGGATAACAAGCCTCTGTGGTGATCTAAACCATAATGTGTATTCTGTGTAACCACCCAAACTGACACCTCAACTCTTATTTCACACTTTAAACTCATATTTAACTGTTCTACACGGAAAGCTGCAGATTCCATGTAGTTTTAACATTAACTCACACCCAAATCCCAGCATGTTAATTACCTGAGGCTTGCTAAAATCCGCAACAAGGCATAATGGATTTGTTATCTGCTTCTCCAACCGTTCCTGGAAAAATAGAATTCATGGTAACAACAGAGCCACTTAAGGACACGACAGTTGCTGCTACCTGCCAAGATGATACTCTTCCTGGAGAGATTAAGAAGCAAATACTCTTTCTAACTGGTACTGGTATTACTCTCTCCGTTATTAATGACAAAAAAGATGCATAAAATTATGCATCTTCTCTAAGTTTTGTCAATCAAAAATGGTCAGAGAGATGTTTCACCTCCCAGTGGCAAGACCCATCTCTTAAACTGCTCTGAGGTCGGCTTCCAGAGATTCTACAGGCAACTGGCTGTTTGCTCGTGGACCTTCCCCACTCAGGAAGCTACTGCTTCACAGAGACAAGACACTGAGCTGTGCATTCTCATACCAGCAGGTGCTGGTCCCAGCTTTTTAGAAGAATGTTTGAGGGCAGTCAGTATTTACTTTCTGCGGGCGCAGGAAGGCACACAGCACCATGTAGCTTGCAACCCCTCTTATCCAACTGTCTCTTCTTCTCAGAAGGCTGCTAAAAAATCACATATTTGTAGACCTTCACAGAATTTCCAGCAGTAAAGGGACAGGTTGACAATAATTATTTTTTTCTCAACACTGGCAGGTAACTTTGAAATATTTCCTGCTCTCCACAGCTTAGTAAATTGGTATCGCTATTCTTACCCAATAAAGTTGGTGTAAAGCCAAATGGTGGGTAACCAAATCATGCATCTGATGAACTCTACTTCCAGAGCTGAGGCTGTTAGTGCTCAAGAACCCAGTAATGTCAAGCCCACACTTACGAAATAAAACGTCTTGGGTGTCTTCACCTGGACAGCAATGCCTCCGTGTAAGTAAGGCTCCATATCGGACGTATCGCCGATGCTGAAGGAGTAAGGTGACACCACTGGAAAGTGAAAAGAATAAACAGTGACTGATAATTAAAAGCATCATCGGATGCTGTAATTCTGAATACAACACGGTGGGGTTTTGCCAATGCTTTTTACACTGTGATTTGCTTTGAACCTTGCTTTGAAAGCGTAAACACAGCTGATCCTCCTAACGGGATTGTCCCTCTCTGCCAGTTTCTGGGCTAAAGTGTTAGTTTCATGTGATCCGTTATGAAATAAGCTTTTTAAAGTGGCAGCAGATTTAACAAGAATTCTGATGACTGCAGCTCTGTAACAAAAATGAAATTGCTTTCGTTTTATTTACACTGCAGTGTCCAGTATATTGCTCAGAGTAGGATTTTAGCCCCATGACTAGAACAGCGGATGATTAGAAAGGGCAGCTGGAGCATTTAAGTCCCATCTTTCCTCTCATACCACCTGGAGAATTGTTCAGATAAAGCAAGAAGACACAGAAATTGTTGATTCACGGAAAACCAAAACCAGCAGCTGGGCTGTGATTAAGAGGAAGGAACCAAACAGCACCAGCAGTAGCAAAACAAAAGGGTACAGAGAGAACACACTCAACCACATGTTTCAAGGGTACTGGTTGTCCCACAGATGACAAAATAGTTGAAAACAACCAACCACCCCCCACCTACCCGCTCTCTCTTCTGCTCCAGACAAATAGGCATTCAGATTTGGGAACTGGAGGATTCCCCAGCATCCAAAAGGAAGCAAGCAGTATGCCTTGAGACATGCATGATGCAGACCAAAGCAGGGTAAACTTTAAATCATGAGAATCACTTCAAAAGCATGCTCAGAAAGAGAGTGATATCAATGCATCCCTCTACATTTAAATTGTCACCCAAAAAACTCCAAGGCAAACAGTGACAAAGTGGTGTTAATTTAGTCCAAAACCATGACAGAAGCACAGGCATTACTGGGCCCTCCAAAAAACAAAACAGGTTTGTCAACAAACTAATGATGGAAACCTCAGAGCCTGCCAACTTGTTTCCACTAGCTGAGAGTTCCCACTGCTCCTTACACAGCAAAATGAGTTTGGAAAAACTTTACTAAATGGAAATGGAGTCAAGACAACACTAGGAAGACCTCTGCACCAGAAAGCAATTTTTTTGTTCAAGCTCACTGGCAGTTTGCATAAGCAAGCAGTCCTCTGGCTACAGTAACTACCACTACAGTGTGCTAGAACAGGCCAAAAAAATAAATACCTTGCAAATTAGTCAGCAACAGTTTACCTGTTATTTGGTGTGTGGATCCATTTAAGCAGGACATTCCATTAACTTCCCGAAAGGTTAAGAACTGTCCTGACTCAAGCCTGTGGGGATGATTTTCAAGGCAAGTGACAATACCAGGATTTGACTGAAAGTGAAAATGGCAAAGTTAGCAAGGAAGAAAGTGTCTTGTGTAAAGGAGTCATGCTTCATCATGGACACGTAGCTTTTTGCCTCTTGAAACTGCAGCCTCTAAAAGTTTTAGCACCTCAGCTCTGCCATAACACCAAGCAGTCCTCTGGCTACAGTAACTACCACTACAGTGTGCTAGAACAGGCCAAAAAAATAAATACCTTGCAAATTAGTCAGCAACAGTTTACCTGTTATTTGGTGTGTGGATCCATTTAAGCAGGACATTCCATTAACTTCCCGAAAGGTTAAGAACTGTCCTGACTCAAGCCTGTGGGGATGATTTTCAAGGCAAGTGACAATACCAGGATTTGACTGAAAGTGAAAGTGGCAAAGTTAGCAAGGAAGAAAGTGTCTTGTGTAAAGGAGTCATGCTTAATCATGGACACATAGCTTTTTGCCTCTTGAAACTGCAGCCTCTAATAGTTTTAGCACCTCAGTTCTGCCATAACAAGAGAGTTACCTATGATAACTTTTTCAGTTCTATTATCTTCAGTTTAAGTTTTCATAACACAGACCTCCTTTTTACCTCTTAGTTCTTAGCAAGTTAGCAAACTGCATTTGTTAGGTCTTAGCAATCAAATTCATTTTTCTGTTCTGAAGTAGTAGCAAACTTACCTCCTTTTTCCAAACCTAAACTAGGCTATATGTACAAAGAAATTTTCACAGACATTATGAAATAAGATCTTGTGAGTGGTCCTTACTACTCCACGCTTCCTTTCCATTTACCCTCCTTAAAAAGGACACCCCAAACTCATTCTGGAAAGTTAGGAAGCTTACAAAGCTGGACATCCTTAAATACAGGAAAGCCCCAGCCTCAAGCAGATCAGAAGCAAACGCAGGAATCTTCAACACCTCATCCTGTTACAGGATGCCATGCCAACCCCCCATGCATACAGAGACACCTCTGCAGTTTGAGGGCAGCTCATCAAAACCTTGTGGTGCAGCTCAGGCTGTAACATAGTGGATTTGCAAGCAAGCCTGGCCTATAAAGTCTCCGACTATCCCTTCCTGAGCTCTCAGTACTAGAAAGATTTCGGTTAAGTAGCGTAAAACTTAATTACAGCAGACTACATTATTCTCTGTGACATGGAGAATGGCAAATGAGTTGACCAGAGAAAGTTGTTCCCTGATTTAGGGACAGAATGTCACCTCAACCCTGTCCACAGGACAAGAACAGCTGCTTGATGGTGGTTTTGGTATTGAGGTGCAGCTTCAGGGAGTAGCAGCAAGGTTCAACTGAACTCAAGTATCAGATTATAAATTAGAGGATATATATACACATACAAAAATGTATAGTCATTCCTTGACTTGTCAGCCAATCAGAACAAGCT